CTAGTAAGTGGTGCAGTTCAAACTAAAAGCCGGTAGCATTATTTAATTTAAATATTTTAAATACTTAAATATTTATTTATTTAAGTATTTTCCCATTCTGAAACTTAGCCTCTTGATTCAGTTCTTTCTCCACACAGTAGTCAGAATGATCTTTGCAAAATCTTAGTCAGATCATATCACTCACTTGATTGAACCTTGGTAATGAGTTGCCATTTTACTCAGGATACAATGCTAAATCCAGCATGTGATGTTCATGGCCTTCCATGGTCTAGCTCTTGTTCCTTTCCATCTATATCTTATGCCACTCCTGTCCCCTCTCTCTCCAGGCCGCAGCCACACTGGGATTCTCTTCTTCCATCCTTCATGTGACAATGGGCTTCCCACTTGCTGGTTGCTCTGCCCAGAGTGCTGGTTTCCTCCCTTCACCTGATAACACCTGGACACCACAGGGGTCTCAGTGTAAATGTTACTTCCTCAGAGAAGCCTTTCCCTGACCCACCAAACAAAATCAGTTCCTCTTGTTGTCATCTTTCAGCAAAGCCTTAATTAACCATCAGTTTATACTGATTTGTCTGTGTGATGGTTTGTTTAGCACCTGCCCTCTCCACTAGTGTGTAAGTCTAATGAAGTCAGGAACCGTGCCTGTTTGGCTCATTGCTAGTCTCCAGCTCTAGTCCAGTAGCTGTTCAATAAGCGTTTGTGGGCTGAGTGAATCCGTGAATCCATGTTGATGGTAAATAGTTCTTTTTCCAAGCATAGTTGTGTTAAATTAGGAAATAATCAGAATTTATATAGATTTTTCTCCATTTCCTGGGAACATGCATATAGAAATGAACTTTTGATATTTGAATAATTTAAGCAAGTCTTAGAAAATTGTCAGGAGAAGAGTTAAAAAAAAAAGTATCCAGGGAAACTGTGGAATCTCCTTCCTTGAGGTTTAATCAGAGGATAGCTCAGTTAAGTCTAAGGTAGTGTAAGCTCTGTTGCTAAAAGAAGGCTCTAAGATATAGATAAGATCATTCTGTAGAACACAGACCTGGATTAAACATACCTTTCTTTTGGTTTGGATGTTTGATTCTTTGTCTAGGACTCAACTCTTTGCTTGTGCCCAAATAGGAAAAGTAATTTGGAATTCTATTCTTGACTCTGACTTCTTTTTTTCCACCATGATATATAATCACTCCTGTTATAACATATGTGTTCCTAAAAATCATTGCACTCTGCAGAAACACACAATAGAAACCACAGGGCTTAGGGCCTATAGAAATGGGACTGGGGGCACAATACCCAAAACTTTGTCAGTGACACATTCAAGAGAAAAGATAGGAACCTAATAAAAATGGTAGCTAAGACTTACGTGTATTAAATGGTTAAGAAATACATAAATGCTACAATAAAATGGTACTTTACCTCAAAAAGATCTGCAGTTTCTTGTGGAAGTGGACATCAAAAGAGGTGCAGCTTGTAAGTTATTGCGAAGTGGTAGAAAGGAACGCTGTCTGAAATCCTGAAATCAGAGGGGAAGCTGTAACACCCAATGGGTGGGTTTGGTTCCTAACGCACATGGTGGACTGAGGTATATTTGAAAGGTGTGTGTTTTGTGTGTGTCTATGCGGCTTGGTTCAGCTAGGTGCAGTTTTCTGCGTTCACCCAGGTTTTCTCATGAATGGGATCAGACATAAGCTAACATAAGATTTGTTTCATGCTCAAATTCTTTCCTAATATATCATTTGCATTGGAACAAATTTTCACTTTAAAAATGAGTGTCGTAGCAGAACTGATAGTAGTAGGGAAAAAAGGTGGTGGGGGTGTTGGTGCTCAGGGTCAGGAAAACTTAGTTCTGGTTCCGGAGCTGCCATTTCTAACAAGTGGAACCTCAGCAAGCTTCCTGCTTCCCTCCCTCCCTCCCTTCCTCCCTTCCTCCCTTCCCTCCTCTCACTTTATCTTTAAATGGAGGTGGTAATAAACAACATTGCCGAGTGACTCTGAGAACTAGCTACCGTAATGAAGGTGGAAACATTTTGTTAAATGTAAAATGCTCTCAAATTTAAGATGTTTCTTGCAGAGCTTGCTTATTTTAGAGTTAGAGACAGCAGCTCAAGAACATAGAGTTGAAAGTTAACCCACTCACAGCTTTTGTGCAGAAAAATACACAAACCTACTTTTTGACTAAGAGCAAAGCTCATGTCTATAGAGGGAAAGAAGAAAGTATGAGTGGCCAGGTTTCCTGTGAACATGTGTGTAATGTCACTCCTTTGACTCAGCCCATGGGCCATTGTTTGTGTTGCCCGTGCAGCGATTTAAGTGCAATGGTTGGAGAAGCCAATGAGCAGAAAGGACAGAGGTGATCTTGCTACATGAAGGTGGGAGGAAAAGAAGGGTGGTGGACAAGGAGTTTTGAAAAACACTATGAGACCTTTCCTAAGAGCTCAAGCCAGCCCAGCCCAGTGGTTCTATGGGAAGAGAGAGGTGGCTCTAGAAATTTGGCCCTGTCAGATCCGTAACTTGGTTTCCTGTGACATTGTCTTTTACTTTCTCACCAACCATTCTCATTCCTTTTTACTCTCCCTGCTGTGAAAGATCCAGAGGAAACCTGTAGGAAAAAATCAAAATCACTTTGGGAGTAAATCAATTTATACCCAGGATATAACTAATCCCAAAGAAATCTATCTAATCTACTGTTATCATCTCTTTCCACTTTTAGCCATGTTTTAGCTAATACGAAAACAAACAAAAAAAAAAACCCTAACCAACCTACTGATAGCATCTCTTCCTACTCTTTCTACTTTTAGCCATGTTTTTTAATTTGGGTAAAAAACTTTTCCATATTTGGAAAATAGGTGTGGATTATTGTCAAGCTTTGATGGATTAATTGAAACACACACCATTTGAAGGGAATATATTTTGGTAAACTTTTGCCCTCATAATCTTAATTCCATAGAACTTTCTCTGTATTAGGAGGGTGGTTTTTTGTGCTTTTTTTTTTTTCATGTTTGAAAAGGTATCTATAAATTGAACAGAAAGGATTATTCATGTGAAAAAGTTTCTCATGGGATTTGGGGAAATTTTCAATGTAGCAGTGAGTGAATCTATGTAAGATTCTTTACTTTTGAAGAAAGGAGGGTTGCTATTCTCTCTGCAAACACTTCACATTCTTCATAGAACGTGCTTTTGAACTGTATAATGTATGCCTTTTTCCTTTGCCTGTTTATGGAATCAAAGCTCAATTTTCCAAATTCTGTAACATACAGGTGACTTGGCCATGTTCCTTGTAGTCCAGTGAATCTATACAGAGAGGAATGTTGATTATGTGTAATAACTAAGCAATGAGGTTTTTTTAAATTGTGGTAAAATATAATGTAAAATTTGCCATTTTAATTATTTCTACAGAGAGTTGACTTTAATTAGCACATTTCTCCTCCATAACCACATTTTTCTTCCTTTTCGAATCTTCCAGGATGTCACTTTTCAAAATAACAGAATATAGATTTGATTTTACTTTTTCTGATTTCAATAAAAGTAACTGACTATGGAGGTTAAAAATGGACCATCAAAGAGTTAGGCCTGACTTAGCAAAAGGCCAGCTCCAGAATCAATAAGCATATATATTTCCAGTACCAATATGTATTGGGTAATGTGCTAAAAATACGTTTGTACATAAAATGTAGTCCTAATCTTGAACAAGTGTTTATCCATTGGAGAATTATGATAAATACACATGAAAAACAACAATAGAAAAAAGTAAGGACCTAAACGGCAGCAGAGATAGTAGGTGCTGTTGGAACTCAGGGAAGGGAGAGAATGACAGCGTGGTGAGGGGTAAGTTTTAGAGGACATGGCTTAAAGCTGAGCCAGGGAGGAGTCCTAGGCTTTCCATAGAGAGACCCAGAGAGATTTTTATGCAGGAACAACAGCATGGTCAAAGGTGCAGAAGCAGGGGGATGTGTAAGTACTTTCAGAGGATTAGGATTCATTTCTAGATTGTTATCTAATGTTTCCTTCATTGTCCTCAGGATGCCTTTTTTCCAGTGAGTTAGAAATGGAGAAAATTTGTCTTTGTTATCACTTGCTGTGAATATGGCCCATGCAATTTCAAGATAGAGGTCTTGCTTCTTTTCTTTTCCTTTATGAATGCATGACCCTCGTGATTAGGCATTGCATCTTTGGTTTTCACCATATAATATACATCCTACATGCAAAGTAATTAGTTTAGTAGCGGCAATAATCCTAACAGCATGGCATCCTTAAGAAAAAAGACAATAGCAACAATAAAACAAAAAAGACATCAGTGTAACTGACTCAGTATTATCAAGAGGATCTGAGCAGTGTGCTTTTCACTAGTTCCAGGAATGAGTTTGTGCTGGACCCTCTATTCTGGATCTTCCAGGCCCTGTTTCAATCCTTGATGCCCAGTTGTAAGATGAGTTAGTGTTTTAGCATTATAAAAACAGTGATTTGGCCTATTTTTATCTCTGAAAACCTAACTGGACAAAATGAAAACAAATTCTTTAGCTTTATTTTTATCAGCACCATGTTCTAATTAGCTTGAAATTCTTGGTTCTTCTACAAAAACAATAATGTTCCCTTTAAAGCATATACCAGAGATGGAAGAGATGAAATAATTCTGAATAGTTAATAATGATATTATTATTATTATCTGACTTACTATGCTGTTGATACTTTGCATCTTTGGGTCATAGTTCTTCACCGAAAGCCACCTGGGTTAGTAGAAATTATTCAATTATTAGAATCAAGTCAGACAGGACTCAAAAGTTTGTTACCCTCTGGTCTATTGGCCTTGCACACTTTACTTAGATATCTCTGATTCTTGGTTTCCTTGTTTATGACAAGAGATTAATAAGAGAACCTACTTCATGGGGTTGTTATAAGGATAAAATTAATATATATGAAGTTCAAGTTAGCACTTAGTAACAAACAGCTGTAACTTATTCTTTTTGTCATAAACACTTTAAACGTCATTCTCTTTGTGCCTCTCATAGCATGAGAAGCTGATACATGAACTGGAAGAGGAGAGACACTTACGTCTTCAAAGTGAGAAGCGGTTGCAGGAGGTGACCCTAGAGTCTGAGCGCAACAGAATTCAGATGCGTGGCCTGCAGCAGCAGTTCTCCAGGTATGGTTCATAGCTGAGCCTGTTTGCTTTCTGAGTTGCCTCCCTCCCTGCACCAGTAACACGTTGGATTGAACGTCCCTTCTGCAATTTCTGTTGAGTTTGAAGAGCTAATTTCCCAACAGTTTATACCTTCTGTTCTGGCCAAGTTATCCTATTGCATTTGGACCAGTTTTCTGAAACTTGGTGTTTGCACCTGAGATAGTCTGGGCTTTATTGAAGCTGGTTTTCTCTTCTTCCCTGATGGCTTCCCAAGGGGTCTTTCAGTGAACTGTGTGGCTTTGTGGCCTGTAGGCATGTCCTACGAAAGGCCAGCCAGGAGGATGAGATTTCCCTGATCATTACAATCCTGTTTTAAGACAAGTGTGAATCTAATCATTTAGTAACCTCTTACTCATTACTAGAGGACTAGTAAAAAAAAAAATCAGTGAGTCCTTTCCTTTAAAAAGACATCATTACAGTTTGAAAGGTATGATTCTGAAAACGTAGCTCTTCTTAGATTTAATCCCAGCAGAGTCTTTCAACTTCCAATGATAGTTAATATGGGGCCAGGTGACAGCTCAACCTATTAGGCTAAAATCTGTTCAGTTCCATGGGGTGGGGAGGGGGAAACCCACAAACTTGTGCATTTACAGTCCTGGAACCAAATATAGGCACTTTGTGAGGGACAGTCTGCTTTCATTTCTATACTTCACCGTTTACAAAAGCAGGAAAATAATTTGTTTCCTTTTTCTCTCATAAGGTTATCTCAGGTGATATCATATTCGAGAAGTTGCCCTAAAATCTTCATGAGCAAACTGTGTAGATCTTGTCTTTATCACTGGGATTTGGTAACTATATGACTGGTGATGGATAATATAGCTTCCTCATTATGAAGCTTTTATAATATTAGCTTAAATTTTAGATGTTTTGTGTGGAGGACCAAAGTTTAGCTTCCGGATTTTATACCTCATTGTGGCTAATAGCATGCATGCTTGCAACTTTGGTTTAGGGGCTTCTTGGAGGAACGGGGCAGGAAGGATGGATGACTCCTGTGTGCTCAGCATCATAATTTAATGCCCTGTCCTCCAGCCCATGATAATACCCAGGTGCTACAGAAATGCACCAATCAATACTTTAACAAATGCATGTCCCACCCCTCATAGGCTATTACTTATACCACCTTATGCTCAATTTTTCATTGAGTTTGATGGCAACTCTCACTTTATGTCTCTCAACCAATTTGAAATAATAGGTCCCCCCTCCAAAGTGACTTTAAAACAAGCACTACTTTGTAATACTTGCTGTTTTAATGACATAGGAAAGTAGAAAGCATATCTTGCTTTCCTTGCACTGTGTAATTGAGATGTCTCTAATTCAAGCTATTGATTTACATGGTGTGAGACACATGGCACAGTAAATTATTTTCATATGATGCCAGGTCATCTGCTGTAAATCAAATGACAATCCCATATAGATTTGAGTTACACAAGAGTCAGGACTACATCCTAGGCTGAAAGAGAAGATAATTATATGTACAATAAATAGTGGTTGGTTTTTACATACTGCTTTTGTGAGGGCTTTTTTTTACATTATAATCAGTTTTCTTATGTAAGGCTTCATTGAAACTGAAAGGTTCAAGTCCAATTACAGCCAGACAACGAATGTAAATCAGCAAAGATGG